GCGGTCTCAACTACCTCTCTTGCTTGTGCCTGAGCAGCTTTAACATCGACCTGATAGACGGCCACGAATGCATCCACATCGACCTTTGCCTTTTTGACGTCATATTCAGCCTTGGCAAGTTCGGAGGCCAACCGAGCCTCGAGCTCCTCTATTCTTCTTGCTTGAACCGAGCCTTTCTCCTTCATACTTTGAAGTTGGTTCTCAGCCGATGATAATTGGGCTCGAGCAACCTCTTTTTCTGCAGCAAAGTGGTCCATACCTTCTTTCCACTTCAAAGACTCCGCTTTTATCACATCGACCTCCTCACGGAGTTTCCCGATCATCTCAATTTTCTACTGCAGCTGTGAGACTGAAAAATTAGCCATCGTTCCGGTATCGAGCCCATAGGCTTCTAAAAGTATCATTACCTGCTTGGACAGATCAGTCTGATCTTGGTGAGCCTTGGCCAACGCAGCTCGGAGGTCTTTGATTTCCTCTCCCCTTTGCCCTAAAAGGAATTTAAGGGAGTTCCTCTCCTCCGTAACCCATTGAAGGTCGGCCTCGTATCGACACAGCTTGGTTCGAGATCGAGAACATGCTTCTCTATGAGCTGCTACGGCCTGCAAAGAAAGAAGAAACAAAGTTAGTAAAGAAAAACAAACATAAAGGCATTACCAACGAAGTAAGTTAAGGCTTACCCGATTCAAAGCCTGCTGCACTCCGAGAAAAGATCCGATGCATCACTAGTGCCGGAAACATCCTCGACACTGGCAAACAAATCACGAAAAGGATCATCTCCCTCATGATATCCATCTACCTCAAGGGCCCCTAAAGCTTGGGCTTCCCGAATCGCCCCTTCAGAAAAAGCAGGGAAAGTGGGCGAGTCTTCGATTACTACTGCCCCAAGTGAATCGCTTGGGGCGTTCTCTTCGGTTCGAAGAGAGTCAGGGACGGCCCATTCAGACATATCCACCATCCGTTGACTTCGATGGGAGATATCCTCGATTCCCAATGGCTCGGGGACTTTGCCCAAATCTTTCTCCGATATATCCTCAGTTTGAGGCGGAGCCTTGTAAACCACCATCGATCCAGCTGCCTGTGGGGCATCAATGGTTTTCTTCATTCAGGCCACAAGTACAGGCCCATCATCTTTTTCTTTTTCCTCGTCTTCATCCCTTAAACGCCGAACTGATTCCAAGGTTAAAGATATAGTATTCTTCTTCGACTTACGAGCCTTCGGTTTTGGATTTTCAGAAGTAAAGGCCCTTTTTCTCTTGCTGTCCTTCGCCGGTTTAGAAACCGGGGCCGAAGTTTCCTCCTCGCCGGACATGGGTCTCAAAACCGCATCCTTAATGAAACCTACACACAAGAAAATTAATTTGAGCATACGGAAAATAGTTCGAACTATCAATGATGCGAGAAAGGAGATTACCATGATTTTTGGCCTCCCATCGACCCTTTGACAAATCGCGCCATGAACGCTCGGCATACGTAGAAGTCGAAGCCAGGTCCCGTACCCAGTCTTTGAGGTTGGGAATCGCACCGAGCATCCAAGGAACCACTGCACCACAAAAGAGGATATCAGTAATAAAGGAAACTAAGGGGCAAAACAATGGGAGATAACAATCGAGTTACACTTACGCTTCATGTTCCCTTCTTCGGGAAATGGAATCTTCTCGGCCGGTATTAGGTCCGACGTCTTCACTCGAACGAACCTTCCCATCCAGCCTTGATCCTTGTCCTCATTATGCTCGAGAACAGAACCTTGGTAGCCCGACGCTGTAGTTTTATTAACCCGCCTCGAAAAAGGCGGGGGTAGTACAATCTAATGAGATGGTCGAGGGTGAAAGACATCCCCTCGATTTTGCTCCCAAAGAAATGAATCAGAATAATGATACGCCAAAAAGAAGGATGGATTTGGCCTAAGATTATTTGATATTTATGAAAAAAATCAATGATAACAGGGTTAAGGGGGCCTAACGTGAAAGGGTAAGTGTGCACACTTAAAAACCCTTCCATATGAGTAGCAATATCCTCTTCGGGAGAAGGGGACTACCACTTCTTTGTTCCCCCCAGTTACAATCTTGTTTTACTTGTTCGAGATATCCCTCGACTATCGAACACATATACCTCGATATCGGCTCACATCGGCCCGGAATCGAAGAGCCTTTGTCGACCTTAAAATCGAAGGTAAGAACACATGCCGCCGGAACGTACTCCTTAGGCCGTGGATCCACGGGTGTTTTGTCGGTGGCAGATTGGGAAGAAGAAGCTTTTTCTTTTTGGGGGACGATTTTTGATGTTTTCACCATTTTTGGATTTAAAGAAGGTGACAAAGATTTGGTGATTTTGAAGAAGGATTTTGCAGAAAAGAATCATAGATTCGCGAATGAACTCAGAAGATACGAAAAGGAACTTGGAAAATTTGGAAGATTAAAGATGTAAAAGTGATAATTGGTAAAAGGAAGGGCTATTTATAGATTGAAGAAATGGCGGTTCAATATCAGCGGTGGCCGACCACCGTCTGACACCCATTAAATGCCTTGATAAGCTAAATCGACGGGACAGCTATCACGTACGTCATGGTCGGTCGCGATGCAAACGTCAGCGCATATCCAATCAAGCCATTGAGAAATCATATCGTTTCTCACCGCATCCTTCCCGACAAATGAGGGGACTATCTGTATACAGTCAAAATTGATTTCGGCCTTCGTACGATTGATCGAGATGAGATCATAATGGACCAAAGAAAGACTTCGTAATATCTAGATGGGTTCCGAAGATGGTACGAACGAGCTTTAGATTTCAGGTATAGGTCCAACACCGAGTTCGAAGTCACTATCGAGCTCGGGTCCAAATCGAACTATGATGAGATGTTATAGAATCGAGCTTAAGGGGCAAAGGCCAACCGATACCGAGCCCGAGCCATTATCAGATCCCGAGTCGGCATCGAGCTCAAGTCCGCATCGAGCTCTAAAAACAATACTGACCATCACCGAGTCTGATCAAGCTCGAGCTCACAGACAAGAGCCGTTGCAACCGCACTAAGGGAGAGAATCTCGGCGGGAATTAGGGAAAAACTGATTTATCATGGGTTTCCCACTATGTATCTTTAATTATATCTAAAGTAGGATCCTCCACTATAAAGAGGATAGCTACATTTCTGTAAAAGGCAGTGTTTTGCTTACATTGTAACTAAAATACCATACAATCCTATATTGAAGAGTTATTCTTTTTTAGCTTGATATCTTCTTCCCAACTTTGCTTATCTTTCATTCTCTACGGTCAACATTCGATATTTCTATTCATTCTTACGATTTGTGTGAAGTTATACCACACACCCTTAGAACTATGTACAAATTTAACTCTATCCGTTTTTCGGGTAAACAATATGGTTATATAATAATTTCCTAATGTGATAATTTGGTTAAGCATAGTATTATGCTATCTGTTTATTTGTGTATGCTTAACTTAGTTATGTTGCTAGTGTACCGATATCAGCTTATGTATCGGTTTATAATCGATTCTCTTTGGTTGATAATTCATAGTTCTTGGTCTTTGAATATCATGTCTACAAGACGTCAGTTATTTGGTCTATTTTAACTATAAAAATGGTCTAGCATCCACTTCATATTGGTTAATAAAATAATTAGTGTAAACGCCAAACAACTTTATTAATTTAAGCATGCATCGCCTCATTGAACACTATCGCAATTGTGCAAATCAGATGAATTTGCAAAAAAAAAAAAAGAAAGAAAGAAAAAAAAGAAAGATCACTACCATAAATACGTTCTGAAAAATGCCTAAGCCATCAGAAGAAACAACAAAGGCCATTGCCTTTTAAGTTTTAATTTATTATTTGCCTATAAAAAACAGCTTGAACTGCAAATAAAAAAATTCACTCCTTACAAGCTAATATGCAAAAATTAATATAACATAAGTGGCACAAAGGAATTGCCAAAGGGATGTATGATGCCCATTTCCGGATGCTCTCTTGATCGGCTTATTCGAGCTCTTGGGAAAGATAGGATCTGACACCTGCATTAGCAACGTCTCCCCAAAGGCACCATAGAATTAAATCTCCAAGATCACGTGCAATTAACTACAATTGTTTATAGTCGACATTAGTTTTTAACCAGAAATAAATCAACAAGAGAACCAGCTGCAATATAATTACAAATCCATTCAACTACAAATAGTCAATTATCAACTATGTCGATTAAATATAATTGAAAGTATTAAACAAAAACTAATGACACATATATGTTCTTTAATAAACCCTGCAAATAATGGGCGATAGAGACGAAGGTGATTGATATTCATTCAGAGAAAGCATTTAACAGGTCGGAATGGCATTTACCTTCGATCCCGATGATCTTTTTTCGGATTTGAATCTTTTATATTTAATACGACTTGCATTATCGACTAATCCAGCTATTGCTCAGTACACTACTAGAAAAAGCCAATTTTCGACCGTCAAATTAGTCGAAAATCATATTTTTCCGACGGATTTTCGACCGAAAAAGGTCGGTCGGAAAACACATGATAGCAAAATATTTGCGACCGTATCAGTCAAAAATTTCCGACGGATTCGGTCGCAAACCGAAAAATAAAGGACGCATTTGAATTTAAGTCATTGCGACCGAATTGATTGGTAAATTTACGACTGATTCGATCGCTAATCAAAATAAAATAATAAAATAAAAATTAAATGTTCCGGCCGATTATGTCAAAAATTAAATAATAAAATTAATTTTTAATTAAATATTCCGATCGAAACAATCGTACATATTGAGTATTAATTAATTAAAAAATTTCAAAAAATTTCAATTTGCGACCGAATCAGTCGCAAATCTGGAAAAGTTTTAGCAGAATTCTGCTGCATTTTTATATACACCACCAGCCAAATAAAACATCCAACGAAACACCTAATAACCAACCAAACACCTAGTATAACAATCCAAATCCAATATTTACTACAAAATGAACAGTTTTATTTATAACAATCTAACCAATTAATCAAACAACATTAATTTTGATCAACCAATTATCAAAATACTAACTCAAATTCATAAATTAAACATGTCTCTAACTTCAACTCTAAAACATTCAAGTAGCTAATCCTAGTCAGATTCGGTCTCCTCCTCAGACTCAGACTCCATTGCTGCTTGACTGCTTTTCTTATTTTTTTTTTTAACAATTTTTGGATCAAATCCTGAGTTGCTTCAATTTCTTGCGATATTTGATCCACTCTTTGACGCATAACTTCCATGTCTTCTTGAAAAACTGATGCACCAGTGAATAATGATGCTGCTAGACGACTGGAGGATGGTTGTACTCCAATCCCATAGACTTGACCTTTCTTTATTTTCAAGAGAAATAAAGAAAAGAAAGTAAAAGGAGTAATAAAACAAACACGCAACTTTCAAACCAATACAAAAATAGATAATTACATAATATCTATACCTTTATTCACGCCACCTGTCGTCTGTGTCCAAATTGTAGTCATATCCTCCGGGCCTGACTGAGTTTCTTCAGGCTGAGTTTGTCGTCATGCATCAAGATTAATATGGTACTTGTCCTGAAATAAAATAATACACCTTACATAAATAAAATAAACCAAGAGGAAAATTAATATAGTGCTAGAGTTGAGATCATAAAAATGTCTATGAAGCACGCGGTTTGACCTCAGCATAAGTCACATCCCCCACGTTCCTTTTCCTAAAACTGATTCCAACACTCCACCCTTAGTAGAAGCTCTGTTTAACTTTGCATGTTCACTCTTCTTCTTCCACTCAGGGTTTTTCCACTTCTCCAAGAACTGATTGCATACTTCTACACATATCCAATCAAGCATGGTGCCACCTCTCCTAGCAAAATGATGTGAATCTATTATCCGCTTCTGTGCTCCCTTCCCGAAGTTAGCATTCACAAGATTTTAAAGTGCAAGCTGCCATACACCTAACCTGCAAAAAGGAATAAATAATATTAGATTAATAAGGATAAGTATTAATAATAATTAATTTATTCTTACCTTAAATTGTTGCCACATATTCATTCTGATATGGTACAATATCTATCTCCAGGAATTCCACGGCTCATGAAAAAATGGCTTCATAGCTTCCATCACCATATGCGTGGCCTGATTGGATGGCAAAAACCTGCACTAAATTTTAACATATAAAATAAACATTCATTAAATTCATTATATGCAAAATTTTATTGAAAGCTTTTAAAAGAAAATTGAAGGAAAACTCACCCGTCGCCATAGGGAATGATAATCAGCCGATGAAGAGAATAGAACTGTACAATTCCTCCAGTACATTGTCTCACGATACCAGCAACTGTAGAAGTACTGGTAGATGAGGATGCAGTTGCGTGAGAGACTCCAATATCCAAGTTAGATATACATGGAGTGGATGATGATGGAGATGATAATTAAGTGGGCGATGTATGAGGCACAAAAGATGAACCACCATGCTGGCTACTATGATGGCTCGGGGATGCAATCGGTGGTGAGCCATCGAACTGACTAGCAGAATCACGCGGGGAAGAAGCTGGGAAATAAGGCGTGTGTTCCTTCAATGCGAAAATCATCAAGTGTCCTTGCCTTAGCAATAAATCCAACAACCCTTTCTTTAAATTTATCCCTTAACCTCACACGATTAGAATGATTTCTATTATACATCCATCTACGATATGCAAATGCCATCTACACAAACAAGAAACACTAGAAGTTGACATGTTTATTTTATTTATACTAGTTACTAAGTTATATTCTCCCAAAGGTTATCTAAATAGTTTAATTACTATAATACCTGGGTGGTTCCACTATTAATAGGTAAATTAAACTATTGTAAGACAAAAAAGTCCTAAAACATATAAATTAATCTAATTTATTTTAAATTAGCATATGATAGCACTCTAATACTTAATTGACTGCATTTTCTTCATTTCGTTTCAATAATAAATAATATAATTAACACATAGATAGGGCATGGAGAATTTTCAATAAAAAGACGAAACAGAGAAGTATTAGCACTTAAGTTGTTTCTTAACTAACCTAACTTGAATGTATAAAAATTCTAACTCTTTAGAATATTGTTCAACTCTAACAGAGAATTATTAGCACTTAAGTTGTTTCTTAACTAACCTAACTTGAATGTATAAAAATTCTAACTCTTTAGAATATTGTTCAACTCTAACAGAGAATTATTAGCACTTAAGTTGTTTTTTTATATAAACAAGAATTCCATACTTGTAGAAAATACCCAAATTATTCTAATTTTTTTCTTGATTTAGTATTGGATACATACAAGTATACTAGCCATTTTCACAAGAATATCTAACTAAAGAGAAAAAATAGCTAATTAATCTACACGAGCAAATTTTTAACATGTCACTATATACATACTATATTAAAAATATTATTGCAAATTTATCCATACTATATTGCAAATTATATAGCTAATTTATACATACTATATTGCTAAATTAATGAAAAAAATAATTACGTGGAAAAGTACTACCGGATCTGCTGCCGGACCACCACCGGGGGGGAGAAGAGCCTCCGGATTCCTGCACCGAAAACGAGTTAAATAAATTGGGGAAAATATATTAGGGGGAGGGTGGTCGGCTGGACGGGGGGAAGAGAGCGGGTGAGTGAGAGAGAGGGAATCTTTTCAAGGTGCCTTATATGCTTAGATTAGAGAAGAAAATCAAGAAATAGAGCGGGTGGGGGCAGAAGATGAGAGGGAAGGAGAAGAAAAAAAACTAGAGAAGAAAGAAGAAAGAAGAAAGAAGAAAAAACGGGTGGGGGCTATATTAAAAATAGATTTGACCGAATCAGTCGCAATTTGAAATTCAAAATTTTCAAATAGTGACTGATTCGGTTGTAAATCCGTTGACCAGTCAGACAACAATTTTATTGTATATTCCGACCAAATCGGTCGAAAGATTTATATATTTTTTTAAATTTCTGCGACTGATTCAGTCGAAAATCCTAAAAAATATTTTCACGGTATTTTTCGGGTAATTAGCGACTGAAAGAGTCGCAATTTGGAGCCAAAAATTTAAAAAAATTAACATGTATTTTTAATAAAATTTCCAACCGAATCAGTCGGAAATTGTGACTGTATTAAATTGGTCGGAATTATTCAGTAGGTAAATAGCTGTTTTTAGTAGTGGTATAAATCAGTCCCAATCTATTGTCAAACTCCGTGTTCGATTCTTAACTATCTTTTTAATTGATACTTGCTATTGTGTTATGCCCAAATGGGCATATATGAAAAAAAGGTTTAAAAAAAAAGAATAATGATATAAAAAGAGGAGACTAAAGTATATTTAAGCATGATATTATATCCTAATTATGATATCAAGCAATACAACGCAATCACAATTTATTCTAATATGATACCAACAAGTGATGGTTTTTTTTAATTTTATTTTTAATTTTTATTTTTTACGCCTTCAGGTGGCGCCTTCCTTTTATATAATCCCAGCAAAAAGAGCACATAACAGAGGGGGACATTCCACCCGACCTCTATTTATTATATCAAGACTATCCTTATAACCGTTAATAGAATAAATACAAAGATAGAGTAGCTTTCTTACCAATATACCAAAAGCACATATCAATAGTATGTAAGAAAGTCTACCTATGTATGAAAGGAGCTCTCAGAAAGTGCTATACATAAAATGACATAGGTTCAGTAACAAATTTTCTTCTTTCCTTGTGTCTAAATGTAGACATTTGTATCTTATCCATCAGATATGGGCCTGTAGCTTGATTGGGAAGACCATTCCAGTTATAAAAGATAGAATTCCCATGAATGATGCTCCATTTAGCCAATGCATCTGCTACTTGATTAGCTTCACGATAGCAATGCTGGATGGAAAACTCGCAAGATTGCAAGAGTTGTAGAATATCCTTAATTGTGTCCTGCATTTGCCAATATGGATCGTACATGCCTTTTAACATGTTAACCAAGATCAAATAGTCACATTCTAAAATCAAATTGCGATATCCCTGGTCGATGCACCATTTAACTCCAATCAATGCTGCTTTAATTAAAACAGCATGATAGTGGTTGTGCAAATGCCATAATTAAAACACCATTAAGGTTTCTAATGATACCCCCTGATCCCATATTCCCTTCTCCATGCCTACTACCATCTGTATTAAGCTTAAACCAGTTTGCAACTGGTTTAATCCATCTAATAATAGTAGTTTCAACAGTAGGAACACGTGCACAAATTTGATGGCAAATGACATCCCATTGGTTTCCCCAGTCCTTCTTCAGAGTCTTTGCAATAAACCATCTAAGGTGTGAGAGTATTTGATGGAGTATTCTAGCCACATAAACTCTAGAAGATCCATATCTGACTACACATCTCGCCTTCCATATCTCCCAGCAAATAACTATAGGAGTAATACTCAGAATCTCTCGATGAATATAATTCTTGGGCTTCATTGACCACCATCTTAAAATCATCAATTTGATGGGAATGTCTTCCCATTTAATGTCCAAGGGGTTGCCAAAGGTTTTTCATAGTCTGATTGCTACTTCTCCGTTCATGAATGTGTGATGAATTGTTTCTCCTTTAGGTATTCTCCAGCAAAAACATTTGGAAGCAAAATGTTGACCAAACTTGAGAAAAACTTCATCGAAGGGAAATTTTTCTTTTAAAAGTCTCCACATGAGAAGAGACATTTTGAAAGGCAAATGTTTATGCCAAATATTCTGGAAAAGGGGAATGTGTCCCCTAACTTGTCTAGCTATCCTCCAAGCAGATGTTGCCGTAAATTTGCCATTATAAGTTGGCATCCAAATAGGAGCATCATGTTTCCTGTGATCTCCAATGGTAATGGATAAAATCTGTTCAGTCATGTATTCAGGTAGTTGTAGATGATCAATGCTCCATCTTTCATCTACGATGATATCATTAATAGGTTGATTAGCCGCTGAATAATCATAATGAATGACCTGAGCAATGACCCCAAAACCTGTCTAGTTGTCCCACCACAAGCTAGAATTGCCTGAATTTATCTTCCATAGCATATTGTCTTCCACTTTGTCCTTGACTTGCATGAGCTTTTTCCATCTATGTGACTTCCCTGTCCTCCATTTCTTCTTTACTAGATGAACAATCCTACAATATTTGCATTTCAGGAAAGTAGACCATAAGGACTCACATGGCCTGAACCTCCACCATCTTTTCATAGCCAAAGCTTCATTGATATCCATCACACTCCTAAAACCTACACCCCCTTCTTCCACTGGATAACATAAATTGGCCCAAGAACTCCAGTGATATCTTTGTTTTTCTTCAGAAGAACTCCAAAAATATTTAGCCATATATCTCTCAATCTGCTTCAAAACAGTGATTGGAGACTCCATAGCTGCTAGCATATGGATTTGTTGCGACTGCAGTACATGTTTGATTAAAATAGCCTTGCCTCCTATTGATAGTAATTTTTCTTGCCAGGCATATGTTTTTCTCACAATCTTTGTGATCATATCATTAAAGAAAGAAATCCTCTTCCTTCCCACATACAATGGACATCCCAAGTAAGTTATAGGAAATTTTTTATACTTGTATCCTGTGATATCCTTTATTCTCTGAATATCTTCATTGGAGGTAGCTGAATGCACCATAAAGCAACTTTTATCTATATTAATAAGTTGGCCTGAACATACTTCATACTTTTGGAGTTGTTGATTGATCAAATTTAAAGATGAATCATTTCCGGCTGAGAAGATAATCACATCATCAGCATAAGCTAGGTGATTCATTTGTGGTCCTTGTCTTGGCATAGAGAAACCCCTAAAATCTTGATAACTGGATAGTTGATTGAGTAATTTAGACAATACCTCTGTCCCAATAATGAACAAAGCAAGTGATAAAGGATCACCTTATTTCAAGCCCCTAGTAGAATGAAAAAATCCCTTCCTTGAATCATTTATTACTATAGAATACCAAACATTTGAAATTGATCTCCATATCAAGTCTACCCACTCTTCCGAAAAACCAAATTTTCTAAGAGTGGCCATGAGGAAAGTCCAATCCATTCTGTCATATGCTTTTGACATATCAAGTTTAATGACTGCATTACCCCCTTCCTTATTGCATTTCATCCCATGGATAATTTCCTGAGCAAGAAGCATATTTTCTGTAATTAACCTCCCATGGATAAATCCACTTTGGTTCTCAGAGATCAATTTGGGAAGAAGTGGTGCCAATCTATTGTTAATGATTTTTGACAAGATCTGGTTGGAGAAGTTACTGAGACTAAGTGGTCGCAAATCTAAAAATATTGTTGGATTCTCTACCTTTGGAATTAAGACTAAACATGCATTAGTGTAGAACTTAGTTAGCTCAGCTCCACTGAAGAATAACTGTACAACACTGACTAAATCAGATTTGATAATTTCCCAGCAAGTTTGGTAGAAAGAACCACCATACCCATCAGGCCCAGGTGCGCTGTTTGGGTCCATATCAAAAATAGACATCCTAATCTCTTCTTCATCTGGAATGACCATTAAAGCTTCATTGTCATCTTGTGTAATCACCTGCTCAATACAGTCTAAATGTTGTAGATTGGTAACTCCTTCAGTTGTAAAAAGGTTTGAAAAATGATTAACGGCTTCTTCTGAAATGAGATTATCCCCGGTAATCCACTCTCCATGTTGGTTCATTATTCTGTTCAAAGTCGATCTTCTCCTCCTGTCATTAATAATAGCATGAAAATACTTGCTATTAGTGTCACCCTCATCAAGCCATCTAACATTAGCTTTTTGTCTTAATATTGATTCTTCATATTTGGCCCATCTAGTATGCTCAGCTTGAGCCTTATGCATTTCGGTTCTTCCATCTGCAACATCATTATCAATATATTCTTCCTCTAAATGTTGTATTTTAGCTTCCCATTCCTTGACCTTGCTGAAAACATTGCCAATTTCCTCCCTTGACCACACACTGAGAACTTTGCTGAGATTTTTTAGCTTCATTTGGAATCTCCTCATCGTATTGCCTTCCACTTCCATTTACCAGACTGACTAAACAACTGATATGAAGTTAGGTTGTTCAGTCCAGAACTTGAAAAATTTGAAATACTTGATACCCTCATTTTCGGTTGTAGAATATTTAACTAGCATAGGTGTATGATCTGAACCTGTGCTAGCCATGTGTTCTACATTGAACCTTGAAGTCTTTGACGTCCACTCATGGTTCACAAATACTCTATCTAACCTCTTCCATATTCTGTTCCATTTATCTCTAGCATTACACCATGTGAATCTAGGTGCGGTATAACCAACATCTGCCATTCCACACTCCTCCATGCATTCAATGAAGTCCCAGCTTTTCTCCATTATATGTGGGTTTTCTCCCTTCTTTTCATCAGAACTCATAATCACATTGAAATCTCCAGTGATGCACCAAGGCCCATTTATGTAATTGTTGCATATCTTTAAACTTTTCCATAAAGTTGCTCTGAGATGTCCTTTATTCTTAGCATAAACAATAGTTACCTAGAAAAATTCATTGCATCCCTTTTTATTAATCTTCATAGTAACCTGTTGTTCTTCATCTGCTATAATACTCACTTCTACTTCTGATGACCATATAAACCAAATCTTGCCATTTACATTTGCATAGCATCCATCATAAGCTATCCTTCTTGTATAAGATTCAATTGTTCCATCATCCACAAAAGGCTCTTGCAGTAAAATAAGGCGTACTTTATGTAATTCGACTAAGAACTTCAACCTCTCGAAAGCCCCTCGGGACTTTACCCCCCTAATATTCCACATAATTGTATCAATCATTAAAATTAATAATGGGGAAGCTTTTAGCTCCTTGATTTGCTTTTACTTTAGCTCTTGTAACAGGGCAGTAACATTTTTTTTTTATTTTTTATTTTTATTTTATATAAATCCATCTTTAAGTGACGAGGGGTTTGGCATGGACCCCTACCTTGTAAATTAAAATCCAGGTAACCACATTAAGGAGGGGGACATAAAACCTAACCTCCGCTAAAACAAAAGAAAATGAAGGCATATTCTTGAACTTATGAAGAAAGATATATAATGAAAATCCTATCGTTTGGAAAGGACCATGTCCCTTGTTCACAACTGCAGTGACTAACCAAAGCACAAAAATTAGCAACACTGTTATCATGTGGATCATAAACAAAATAGCTTTTTGGAGTATCTTATTCTAAAATTAGGGAGTTGATCCTTGTCCATGTATAAGTGTCCCCTGGCCTGAGATGAAAGTTCTTGAGTAGAGTAAAACCATTTAACACCATTTATCTCACTTCATTAGCTAATGTATCCGCCACTTTGTTTGCTTCCCTGAAGCAATGCATGAATTGTATTTCATTAAAGAAATTAGTCTTCCTCTTAGCTTCTTCAATAGTAGTAAGCAAACTCCAAGGAGGATTAAACTTTCCACGCATCCAGTTAATAACTAAGAGTGAATCCAATTCCACAATAATATTTTTGTGTCCCTGATCTATGCACCATTGCAACCCCATATCTAGAGCCATAGATTCAGCTGCATTATTACTCTGGGTACCAAAAGATGCTGCAAATGCACCCACCATTTCTCCATTGTGCCTTATAATGACCCCTCCTCCACCACTAATACCAGGATTACCTCTAGAACATTCATCGGTGTTTAATTTAATGGTCCTTTCTAGAGGAAATTTCCATGAGACTTTGATAATATTCAACTGTGGTCTAGCTTCCACAATCATCTGAGTCAATTGCGCCTATGGAATTACTAAGTCAACCTGCCTGAACTGCTTATGGATAATCAGAGTAACATCATGGCAAATTTTGTGTACAATTTTAGGAACAAAGAACTTTTGTTGATCATATTTACTCTTATTTCTCGCTTTCCAGATGTTCCAACTGATGACCAAAGGGGCTGCTTGAAGAAGGAGTTCATGGATGGGGTTCTGGTATTCAGAGAACCACCAAACCATCATATGTTGCCAAATATCACCATCATAGTCCCTAATCCCAAATTGGTCTCTGAAGTATTTCCAGACTGCTTTGCTAATGTTGCTATCAATGAAAATATGATGCCCATCTTCATTCATTGGTTTCGTACAACAGGCACATTTTGATGGAAAAGGAATTCCCATTTTCTTGATATTATCATTTGTCGGTAGTTTGTCTCTCAAAAGTTTCCAACCGAAAAATATATTTTGAAAGGAATAGCGTTATGCCATAAGAACTTATTCACAAAAGAAATTCCTTGTATTTGTCTCAGGCTATTCCAGGTGGAGGAACAACTGAACTGACCATTAGATGAGCCAGTCCATATTGCTTGGTCTTGTACATTTGAGTTACCTATTTTGATACCTCTAATGTGTTCAATCAAGTAGCCTGGAATAGCTTGAGACAATTTAGGACTATTCCAGGAATTATTAACAATAAAGTTACATATCTTATCCTTGTTATAAATGGAGCAATTGCAAAAGTTGGATAAAGGGCCCAAACCTGTCTAGTTGTCCCAGTAGAAAGAAGAATTTCCTCCTTGGATCCTCCATGTTATATGCAGTTCTACTTCTTTTTTATCTCCACTAAGCTTCTCCATGAGTCAGACTGCTTTGAGCTTCATTTCCTAGGGACAAGATGAATTATACTGCAATACTTAGTCAATAAGAATGAAACCCATAAAGATTTATTAGTTCTGAAAAGCCACCAGATTTTGGCTGTGAAGGCCTTGGTGGTGTCACTCAAATTTCTAAAACCCATTCCTCCTTCTTCGGTAGGGTAGCATAACTTTCTCCAAGAGGCCCAATGATATTTCTTGCTTCCATCTGCTTGACCCCAGAAGAAATTAGCGAAGAATCTCTCCAACATCTTAAGCATAGTTTTAGGAGGTTGACAAATGGATAACAAGTGCATAGAAATGGAAGACAATACATGCTTGATAAGAATAGCTTTGCCTCCTGGAGACAAAAGTTGCCCCTGCCAGCTAGTAATTCTATGAACAATCTTCATGTCATTCCAGAGAAGTATTGCACCTTCTTTCTACCTGTATATATTGGACATCCTAAATATTCAAAAGGAAAAAATTCCCTTCTGAACTTTAGATGCCTTTCAATAATTCTGATGCTATTTTGATGACAAGTATGGTTTACCAAGTAGCAACTCTTTTGGTTATTCACCTGTTGGCCTGAAGCTTTCTCATACTCTGCTAGCATGTGCTTGATGAGTCTAAGAGATTTTGTATTACCTGAGGTGAAAATAATCAAATCATCTGTATAGGCGAGATGATTTATTTGAGGTCCCTTCTTATTCATGGTAAATCCTGAAAAATCAGAATTTTCATGTAGATTGTTTAATGCTTTAGAAAGAGCCTCAATTGTTATAATAAACAGAGAAGGGGATAAAGAGTCTCCTTGCTTCAAACCCCTAGCTGATTTGAAGAAACCTTCCCTTTTATCATTAATAAGGATAGAGTACCATACATTGGATATAAGGTTCCACACAGTGTGTATCCATTGTTCTGCGAATCCCATTTTCCTCAGAACCCCACAAAGAAACGTCCATGATATTCTATCATAAGCCTTGTTCATATCTAGTTTGATGACTACATTATTCCCTGTATTCTTTTGATTAATACTACTAATAATATCTTGTGCCAGAAGAACATTCTCTCTAATTGCTCTACCCTTGATGAATTCACTTTGATTAGGAGAAATAATCTTAGGCAATAGCCTAGAAAATTTGTTATTCAGCAATTTGGTGATAATCGTTTGGGTTACATTGCTAAGGCTGATGGGTCTGAGTTCAAAGAATGATTGAGGATTTTCTACTTTAGGAATCAAAACAAGGCATGTGTGAGTGATAAATTTGCTAAGTTCCCTTCCATTCATCACTTCCAATACCATATTGTAAATATCTTCCTCTATGATGTCCCAGGTTTGTTGGAAAAACCTACCATTGAAACCATCGGGACCTCCTGTGCTTCCTCGATCAATATCAAAAATAACTTGTTTGACTTCTTCTTTTGATGGCATATTTATCAGACTATTATTGTCCTCTTCAGTTATCATTTTTGGAATAAGATCAATAAACTGAAGGTCAATCCTTTGAACTTCTTGAGAAAAACACTTCTCATAGTATTCTATGGCAGCTTCTGAAATGTCTTCTTCTCCTTCTATCCATTGATTGTCTTCTCCCTTAATTCTGTGGAGGAAAAGTCTCTTTCTTCTTCCCTTGATGAGCTTATGGAAGTATCTAGAGTTGGTGTCTCCATCCAGATTCCACTTGAGGTGCACTTTTTGTTTCCAATATGAGTTAACCTTCTTTATATGTAGTATATATTCAGCCTTCAGCTTGTTCAAATGCATTCTAGAATTCTCATTGTCATCCTGTTGAAGTTTATTATCTTCTTCTTCAATCTTCTTTTCCAGTACTTTAGCAATATCAAATATATCTCTAAGAACATTCTTAGACCATTGGCTCAATGATTTGTTGACAGTTTTTAGCTTTTGTTGCACTTTCCATAAAGCATTGCCTTCAAAGTGTGTACTCCATGCTTCTTTGACAATATCGTTGAAACCAATTTGTTCAATCCAGAAGTCCAGGAACCTAAAATATTTAGGGTGCTCTTCATCATTTTTCTTACATTGTATCAGTAAAGGGCAATGATCTGAGCTCACTATTGCTAGATGTTAGACTGTAGATGTAGGAAACATATCCTCCCATTCACTATTAACTAATAGTCTGTCCAATCTTTTCCAAATCTTCTTCTTTTGTTTTTTTGTTATTATTGCACCAGGTAAAATTGTTACCATTGAAACCTACATCCATTAGAATACAATCATCTATGCAAGAAATAAAAGGAAGGTTCATCCTTAGGTTAAAAGGTTTTCCTCCCTTTTTTTCTTCCTTCATAGTGATAGAATTAAAATCTCCACAAACAGCCCAAGGGTAGGTCCCTCCAGTAGCAAAATATCTCATATCATTCCAAAGTTCTTCTCTTTTGACGCTAGTGCATTTAGCATAAACAATGGAGATGTACACTGGTGTATCAATGGTAATATGGGATAGTCTACAGTTGACTATTTCCCTATTGTCCAAAATATCACAGTTGATATCATGACTCCAGAACAACCAAATTTTGTTATTACTATTAGAGAAGTAGTTAGCTATCCCAAAGGTCCTGATGTAGTTACTAATATTTGATTCACCAACAAATGGTTCTTGAAAAGCCAAGAAAGAAATTCTATATCTTTGAATGAGTGAGATAACTCTTTGTGTTGCTGCTTGGGATTTCATCCCTCTAATATTCCAATTGAGGTTATTAATCATTAAAATTTCTTTTTAGGAACTTATTGGGATCCCTTTGTGAGATCTTTTCCTTTGGCGTTGGTTTTGTTATTGAAATATCTAGGAGAAAGATGTCCCTGCCAGTAATAGTCTTGACATTCCACTTATTGGCACCTTTCTTTCTAGGTGATAAGTTGCCTCTCATAATTAAAGTATTTGTATGATGAGTGACTTCATCATCTGGATCTGGTTGGTGCCATGAAGTCCTAGGAGCAAATGTTCTAAGCAATTCTTCTTCATCAGTAGAGTTACATTCTGCATATTCTTCATTTTCCTCATCTTCACTCACTTGCCTCTGCTCAAAGCTGTCTCCAACCATGTTTGGACTATTGCCCCTAATACTGCTCAAGCTTGAGTTATCAACAACCTGTAGTGGGTTGATTTCCTCCTGGACTTTCAATTGTAATCCCTTGTTGTGATATGTCTCCTTTACTGGTGTGCGTGTATGCTTAGGACCCCATAAATGGACTTCAAGTTGAATTCCTTGTATCTTCTCTACCAGAATTTCATTATTGTTACTCTGAGGGATAGTAAGAGCTTTCTCATTTGTATCAACATTAGAAGTAACAATAGGATGTCATTTTCCGATTGGTTGGTTCTAGCCTGGTGAGGCTAGGTTGTTGGGCACTAATTCACTAGGCATGCTGCAAAGAGTTCAAATAAGCATTTTAAGCACATAAACATGCGATATTAGACTAAACATGATAGCTACACATATTGGAATAGCTCAATTAAGAATAAAAATAGACTAATACTCATTTAAACGGTATAACTCAAATTAAAGAAAAAGCAGATTACTACTCAGTAAAATAAATCGGGTTTTACAACAAATGGCCCGTGTACGTACTTGTCACCTCACGTACACGGCGCTCACATATCACAATAGTACCAAATCCTAAGGAAATTTCCCCCACACAAGGTTAGGCAAGCCACTTACCTCGAACCAAGCTCAATCAATCGGTAACAATGCCTTTTCACGAATATCCGACTCCGAATGGCCCAAAGCTAGCCAAAAATAATTACATATCATAAATATAACTATAATAGACTAATCTAATTAATGAAATCAAGACTTTAACAAAAATTCTGAAATCCGTCCTAAAAGGTCGACCTGGGACCACATCTCAGAATCAGATAAAAATCACAAAAATCCGAAAGTCCATTCACTCACGAGTCCAACCATACTAAATTTATCAAAATCCAACCTCAAATGATCACTCAAAATTCAAAATCAAATTCTTCAAATCCCTACCCTCAAACTCCTAAATTTCACCTTAAATACACACTAATTAGGTTGAAAAATAAATGGGGAAGCAAGATTATTGATAAATGCTCTCAAGAAATTGCCAAACCCGAGCTCAAAATGATGAAAATGGCCAAAATCTCGAAGTCTCGCTTAAGTAGGTTAGGCCCAGGCATTTTCGCACCTGCGGAGCCTGGGCTCGCACCTGCACGTCTGCTTGTGCGGAAAAAAGAGCGCTTATGTGCAAACCAATTACTCCCCTATGCCTCCGCACCTGCGAGTGCGCGCCTGTAGAATCTTGTCCGCCTCTGCGGTCCCTCTTTGCACCTGTGGTTCCTCTAGTGTATCTGCGGACATCGCAGATGCAGCATTTTCACGCCCCTGCTGTAAGGACCGGTAAAAATTTTAACTAAAAACTCGGGGTTTCATGGTGCCAAGATAGATTCCTGTGTTACTATAGTAGAAGTTCTTCTTGGATTGAACAGTACCCAACGGACTGAGAGGAAAATGTTTTGCAGAAGAGCGCGTTTCTGCGGCCCATTATGCGGCCGCATAATCACTCTGCAGACCGCATAATGGCCGCAGAGTGAAGCAGTAAGTTTGGCCAACTTGAGGTCAGTTTTGCGGTCGATTATGCAACCACATAATCAATATGTAGACCGCATATCAGCCGTATAATTTTCTCCTGGGTTTCTGCGGAGGGAGTTCTGCGGTGCATTATGCGACTGCAGAACAAGTATGCGGACCGCATACTGATTGTATACCTAAGCCGAAAGTTTAGGCCCCTGAGGGCCATTTCTCCGGTCACTTTGCGGACCACATAACCATTATGCGATCGCAGACCTGTGTCGGGACACCATTTTTCTTAATTTAAAACCCGACTCCATTCCTCTAAAATACCCCTTAGGTGTATTTTGAGCTTATTTTATGATATTTCTAGAGTGAAAGAGAGAGGGTTCAAGAGGGTGGGCCTAAGTTTTTATCAAATTGATCTTCAATCATCACACAAAGCCTTGGAAATATTCAAGTAGAGCACCAGAATTCTTCACCCTAAAAGGTAAGGCTTTATCACCCCAGCTCTAAATTTCAAACATAGCTATAATGGAGTACTAGGGTGATACTTCATGAGTATGAGGGTGGTTTATCTTGCATGCACGTGTGATAAAGAGTGTGGAGAAATAAAGTGAGTTAGAACCATGAACGTTTTCCTAATTCTGGGTTCAATTTGTATATTGCTAAAATTGATTGAGGTTGCTAAGGGTTCCAGATAATTGTAGAGTCTAAAGAAGAGAAATTGAGGTATGTATGGCTAACACTCTTCTTCCTAGAATCAAACTCTTGGTGTCCGAATAATGCGTGTAAGTTCTAACTTGATCATACTAGAAAAGACTTGAATTGTAAAATGTTCCCAAGTGCCAAGAACTACTTAATAAATGAGGTTGTTTGTGAGGTGGCTTAGCCGATCGGGCCGATATCGGATGCCATCCTGTACACATGGTGGCATTTGTGTTGGAATTATTGATTTACATTGTGGATATGGATATGTCTCACTTGAGATGGCTTAGCCGGTCGGGCCGAGACCGGACTCCTTGTAAAAACACGGTGGCATTGTGAGTTGTGGCTTTGGCACTAAAAATTATTAATCTAAAAATATGGAAAGATTGAATTGGAAACTATGTGACCCTTACTTGGTGATTTCTTTGTATTTATATGAAACTCTTATTGATTATTATGACTGCCTTTGCTTTGTTTCACTGTTCATTCTACGAAGATTGGTGTTTGCCTTACATACTAGTACTATTCGACAGTACTAACGTCCCTTTTGCTAGGGGCGCTACTTTTTTGAATGGATGTAGGTGGTTCCATCGCAGATAGTGCCGATCGCAGATAGTGGTGCTCTCTTTCTCTCCCCACAGCAGTCTTGGCGAGCCCCATTCCTCCCAGGGGTCATGTAGTCCTTCTTTTGTATAAGTTTTCATATTTTGAGGTATAGCCGGGGCCTTGTTTCCGACATTGTCATGTTGCTCTTTTGTACTCTTAGAGGCTCCGTAAACGTTTATCTGGGTAATGTATGTATGTTGGGGTGGTCGTTGTATCAAGTTGTATTTTGGGAACTCAACTATGGTATAATGTATTTAAGAAAAAATAAACTAGCAACGTTTATATATTTATATAAGTGATCTCCCCCCTGGATTATGAATGAGTCGGGTTGGAAAGGTTTAATAGGCCTTCTTGACCGGGTTCACTCGATTTAGCGCCGGTCGCGCTCCCCGAGGTTGGCGCGTGACAAACTTGGTATCAGAGCCTAAGATTTTAAAGTGCCCTAGGATGTCTCGGAGCCGTGTCTAGTAGAGCCCTTCTTTGGGGGCTACTTGGACATTTAAGAATGATACCCTTCATTGGTGTTCAATATCGTGCGATAGAGCAGAACGTGAGGTTGTTTTCCCCTAACTCGTGCATTGTTCTAACTTTCAGTAAATGGCACCTAAGAAGAGAGCGAGAATTGGCCAAGAAGCCAATGCCACACCCGGAGTGGTTGTTGATCCCCTACTTGATAATGCGGGTAAGGATAATCCCCCTACTATCACACTGCCTGATTCGTCTACTCCAAAACAGACTACCCCAGTTCCTACATCCGCGGAGGGTGCCACAATCCCTCCCGTCGATATACCTGTTCCACTTTCAGCCCTAGCTCTAGGTCCCGGTATTTCTGATGGGGATCTTAAGGGAGCTATTCAGATGCTGACTCAGTTAGTAGCTTCTCAGGCCCAGAAGTCAAATGTTGCACCCACCTTATTTAGCTCGCAAAGGGATTCTTCTTGTTCCAGGGTAAACAAGTTCCTTCAGTTAGACCCTCCAGTTTCACAGGTACTGATCCCGAGGCAGACCCTCAGGATTTCATTGATGAGATGCATAAGACTCTCCGAGTTATGCGTTCTACGGAAGTAGAGGGAGTAGAGTTGGCCTCTTATCGTCTGAAAGGGGTGGCATATTCCTAGTTTGAGATGTGGGAAGATTCCCATGAGGAGGGGAGCCATCCGGCGAGATGGAGTGAGTTCGCGGATGCCTTCATAGACCATTTCTTGCATGCCGAGACTAAGGCGGACCGTGCTGTGGAGTTTGAGACCCTTAAATAGGGTAGTAGGAATGTGTAGGAGTATCACATGGAATTCGTGTGCCTGTCGAAGTATGCAGTTCATATGATGCCGATATGGAGGCAAGAGTGCGTCGATTTGTGCAGGGCCTTAGCCCTTTGGTTATTAATGAGGCAGCCACAACTGCTCTAACTTCTGACATGAACTATGGAAGGATGGTGGCATTTGCCCAAGCTACGGAGGCTCGAAAGTTAAAGCTCAGGATGGAACGGGAAAGTAGTAGTAGGTCCCGATCAGTGGGCAACCTTGGGGATTCATTCGGAGGTGGGAAATCAGCCTTTCGGGGAGGATCATTAGGGCCGTCCTAGTCTTATGCTCAGTCTTCAGCTAGTGCCCTGCCATCAGGGCACGGTCAGTAACAAGAGAGTCGCTTTATGCCCGGTCAGGGCAGCAGGGGGTCCCACCACCAGGGCCGATCAGGAGGGAGATTCCAGCAGCAACAGAGGGCTCCATGCCCTAAGTGTGGGAGGATACATTCGGGAGTCTGCTACCTGGACATGCCAGTATGTTACGGATGCGGAATGAGAGGCCATATTCAGAGGGAGTGTCGTGCATCCCGTTAGGGTGCAGGCAGGGGCACAACTCAGTCATCAAGTCCTACAGCTGCTACATCTTTAGCACCCCCTCCAGCTCGAGGCTCTCCAGCACCCACAAGGCGTGGTGCAGCTAGGGGTGGTGCACAGAGTTAGGGAGGACCAAGCTGATTCTATGCTATGAGTGGTTGACAGAGTGTAGAGGCTTCGCCAGATGTCGTCACAGGTATATTGACTATTCAATCTCATGATGTGTATGCCCTTATTGATCCCGGATCTTCCTTGTCCTATGTTACTCCTTATGTTGCTACGAGCTTCGGGATAGAACCGAAATAGCTTCATGAGCCGTTCTCTGTATCTACTCCGGTTGGCGAGTCTATTATGGCCGCACAGGTTTATAGGGATTGTGTTGTCACAGTGCGTGGTCGGGATACCATGGGCGATCTTATTGAACTAGGGATGATTGATTTTGATGTAATAATAGGAATGGATTGGCTTTATTCATGTTTTGCCAAACTCAATTGCCGAGCCAGAATCATGAGTCTTGAGTTTCCTAACGAGCCAGCTGTTGAGTGGGAGGGGAATAATGTTATGCCAAAAGGTAGGTTTATTTCTTACCTTAAGGCCAGAAAGATGATCAGGAAGGGGTGTATTTATCATTTGGTCCAAGTTACGGACACCACTGCTGAGGTGCCTACTCTTTAATTTGTACCAATTGTGAATGAATTTCCCGATGTATTTCTGGATGAGCTCCCTAGAATTCCTCCAGACAAGGAGATTGATTTTGGGATTGATGTGATGTCGGGAACACAACCTATATCCATTCCACCTTATAGAATGGTGCCGGCAGAATTAAAAGAGCTAAAGGAACAACTAAGGGATTTGCTAGAGAAAGGTTTTATCCGACTGAGTATGTCGCCTTGGGGCGCACCAGTTCTCTTTGTCAGAAAGAAAGATGGATCGCTGTAGATGTGTATTGATTACCGGCAACTCAACAAAGTCACAATCAAAAACAAATACCCATTGCCTAGAATAGATGATTTGTTTGATCAATTACAAGGTGCTAAGTTCTTCTCCAAAATTGATTTGCGGTCCGGGTACTATCAATTGAAGGTAAGGGAGCAGGATATTCCAAAAACAGCTTTCAGAACCCGGTATGGGCACTTTGAATTTATGGTAATGTCTTTTGGGCTAACAAATGCCCTGACAGCTTTCATGGATCTTATGAATCGAGTCTTCAGGCCGTTTCTTGACTCTTTTGTGATAGTATTTATTGACGACATCCTTGTATATTCATGAAGTCGAGAGGATCATGCCGACCACCTCAGAGCAGTTCTGCAGACTCTCCATCACCACCACATGTATGAAAAGTTCTCGAAATATGAATTTTGGCTTGAATCTGTTACATTCCTGGGTCATGTCTTCTTCGGAGAAGGAATTAAGGTTGATCCTCAAAAGATTGCAGCAGTGAAGGATTGGCCTAAACCTACTACTCCAATAGAGCTTCGCAGTTTCTTGGTTTGTCCAGGTATTATAGAAGGTTCGTGGATGGGTTCTCCACTCTTGCCTCTCCATTGACTAAATTGACGCAGAAAGCGGTTAAGTTCTAGTGGTCCGATGCTTGTGAAAAGAGCCTCCAGGAGTTGAAATCAAGATTGACTTCGGCACCGGTATTGACCCTGTCAGAGGGTACCGAAGGGTTTATGGTGTATTGCAATACTTCAAGGTTTGGTCTGGGGTGTGTATTAATGCAACATGGTAAGGTTATAGCATATGCTTCAAGGCAACTTTAGAATCATGAAAAGAACTATCCAACTCATGACATAGAGCTTACGACAGTGGTTTTTGCATTA